TCACCTCCGAGGCCTATGGTGAAACTCCGCGGCTCCTTGCGGAGATCGACTCAGACCTGGCAGGCAAGAGAGATGTTGTGGTTCTTTTCCACGTGGAGGAGCTCTCGCGGACCCTCCTTTCTTCTCCTGGTGACCTCTTTGCTGATCCGGGAGATGATGGCACCCCCTTTGTTCCTGATGAAGGGCCAGCTGGTGATGAAGGCTATGGTGTGGGGGATATGGGTGCCGAAGCCGAAGAAGTGGTCGGCTATGGCGAGCCAATGGAAGAGGAGACTCACGAAGATGATGAGTTGGAGGGTGTACGCCTTCATGTAGAGACTCCTCTTCGAGTGTTGCGTGAGCTTTGCCAAAAGTACGGCCTGCCCACCTCTGGTGGGAAGAACAAGGTGCTGAGGCGCCTCAAGGAGGAACACGAGATCCTCAGCCGCCGCCTCAGTGCCGAGGTGGCTCGCAAGATGTTCTCAGAAAGCGAACGTGTCGCGGATATGCCCCGCATACCTATCCTACCGTCGGCCAGACAACAAGAGCTGCACAACATCACGCACCAGCCTTTCCAGTCCTGGTGCCAGGCCTGCCTTGCGGGCCGCAGCCGGCAGAGCCCCCACAAGGTGGTCGACAAGAACCAGACCCAGGAGGTCAAGGAGGAGAAGCGTGTGACCCCCACCATCCAGATAGACTATGCCTACACCTTTACCAAGCAGAAGCACGAAGTTCAAGAAGGCGAGGCTGATGCCGGAGGTGGTGCCGAGGATGGTGGGGAACCTGGCGAGCAGGGTGAGCCCAATGCGCAGGAGGACGTCGACTACCAGAACCAGCACGGCCTCACTTTGGTTGGGGCAGAATCCACCACAGGGTGGACAGTGGCGATCCCAATCGCTCAGAAAGGCTCAGCCAGCCTCAAGCGGGTAACCGAGCACCTGGTGCGGCTCAGCATGCTTATCTCCCCGGGGGAAGCTATCACTTTCCAGTGCGACCCCGAGGCTCCTATTAAGCAAGTGGTCAATGCGGTGGAGAGTTGCAGGTCGAGGCTTGGTTTGGCAACCCACAAGGTGTGGATTCCCAGGGGCTCCCATGCCTCAAACGGGATGGCCGAGCGAGCTGTGGGAACTATCCGGGCCAACGCTCTTACTCTCAAGAGCCACCTCGAGTCAAGGATAAAGGCAGCTGTGGAAGGCCACACCCATATTTACAGCTGGCTCATGCGACATGCAAGTTTCTTGTTCAACAGATTCGCAACCTGTGTCCGCGGCGCGCCTCCTTTCGAGATCGTCTTTGGGCGGCGCTTCAAGTCCAAGATGGTGCCGTTTGGCGAAGTCGTTCTGTTCCACAGGGCGAGCAAACACAAGGGAGAGTTGCAATGGCTGCGCGGGGTATGGTTAGGCCTCAATGAAAGAAATGGGGCACATATCCTTGGAACACCCGAGGGAGTATGTGAGAGCCGAAGCATCCGCAGACTACCTCAAGAACAACAATACAGTGCTGAAGCAGTGCTCGGGATGAAAGGCTTTCCATGGAGCTACCTGGGCACCGCAAAGCGCCGACGGGCCCTCTACCCTGGGGGTTCCAGGGTGCCTTTATTGCCAGATTCGGCAAGTCTTGAGGAGCTTGCCCGTGCAGCAGGACGGGCAGCCGCAGCAGAGATCGCTGCCGGCACCCCTAACGTGGCACAGCAGGGAGACGAGGCAGCTTCAGACCCGAGTTCCTCTACGAGTTCAAGCACCAGTGCCTCCCCGACCTCAAGAACTACAAGGCAGCAGCGTGGACAGCCGCAGCAAGAGCAGCAGCAGAACAGACAACAGGAATCCCAAGAACATCCACAACCACTGGGGCACGATGGCAGCCAGCAGCGAGAGCAGCAACAGAACAGACAGCAGGAATCCCGAGAACATCCACAACCACTGGGGCCTATATTTATGGATGGTGTCGTTGAGCAGGGTGTCTCTTCAGGTGACCAGCAAGGTGGTGTCCCAAAGCGTCCTAGGTTGCTTCTAGACCGTCCTGGTGGTAGTGGTGGTGACCCAAGTGCAGCGTCGTCTCCGAGTGCAACACTATACCCTCCAGGTTTTGCTGGTGTTCGCCGTGTCCATGGTGATGTTCCCACGGAAGAGCTTGTAGGCTTTGACAGCTGGTCTGAGGAGATGATCGAGACCATGGCCCTCGAGAGTGATGCGGCGGCATCGTGGGAAGAAGAGCCAGATGACGACAAGCCTCCTGACCCCACACCGGAGGAGCTATGGACCATCGATCGTGAAGCTGACCTTGTTGAGGTGACACGCCTCATGGAGATGGGAGTGGCAAGGCTTCCGAGGCCTGGCGAGGAAATTTCCTCGTACCCTCGGCTGACGACAAAGATGGTACGAGATTGGAGGAAGCGGCCAACTTGGGTTCGCCGATCCCGCCTCGTGGGAAGGGAATTCAAGTTCCTGTCGGAATGGACGGCAGAACTCTTCGCTCCTGCGAGCTCTTTGGCCATGGTCCACTCCCTGATCTCGGTGGCCCTGGCACGTGGCCTTGAGATTGTCACTCTCGACGTGAAAGACGCGTACTTGAATGTCGATCAACCTCACCCCGTGCTTATCGAAGTCGACCGAGGTGTTTTCGGGGAAGATGGAGGTGGAACTGTGGACCTGGTTTTGGACAAGTTGCTGCCGGGACAAAGGATAGGGGCTAGCGCGTGGTTCGGGTACGCCAAAAGCCTTTTGGGTGAGGCCAACATGGAGAACTTCGCAAAGGAACCCACGTTGTTCAAGCACACCGACCCGAGCAACCAGTCAGCCCTTATCATGCACGCCGACGACGGCATCCTTGCAAGCACGGCGGAGGAGCGAAAAAGAATCCTTAAAGTTTTGGGTGCCAAGGTGAAGGTGCAGGTCTCTTCCCCTCTTCGAGACCCAGGGAGCGAGGTTGAGTTTCTCAAGAGGCGCTATGTTATGACAGAGGACGGCGTGGTGGTGTATTCGAATGGCAAGTACCTCGAGTCCCTCTTGAAAGCGCTGGGAGAAAAGGGGAGAAAGAGGGATTCCCCCGCAGATGCTAGTTTTCAGGAGCCCGACACCAGCAAGGAACTCCCCTTCGCCGAGGCCAAGCTTTATCGTGAATGCGTGGGGCGCCTTCTCTATTTGGCGCATACGCGCCCAGACGTGCAGTTTGCAACGTGTGTTCTGAGTGGCAGGATGCAGGCGCCAACAGCCACCTCAATGAAGATGTTGCACCGTGTCGTGGCCTACCTCAACAGCGTCCCGGAGATTGGCTTCCTTATCAAGCCAGCGCGCAATGAAGGGTGTTTTGGCTACTTCGGGCGTGGGGACCTGGAGCACGGTGGCACGCTGGTGGTTGAAAGCATAACAGACAGTGATTGGGCTGGGTGCAGAAGTACCAGGAAGAGCAGAAGCTCTATTCAGCTCTATGTGTCAGGAAGCATGGTGGCTTCAATGGTCCGCTCCCAGAAGTCAGTGACCTTGAGCAGTGCCGAGGCCGAGTTCGTGTGCATGGTCAGTGGTGCATGTGAAGGCATCTATTTGCTGGATTGCCTTCGGTTTCTGCTGGGCTCTTCCACCAGGGTTGTTCTGCGGTGCCGGTCAGATAGCGCAGCCTCGCGTGGGATATCCCAACGCGTGGGGTGCGGCCGAGTGAGGCACCTTCATGCGGGCATGCTCTGGATACAAGAGTCTGTGCAAAGCAAAGAGCTGGAGGTTGGATGCATCCCAGGGTCCGACAACCCGGCAGACGTCGGGACCAAGCTACTTGGTGGCCCAAGACTTCGCGAGTTACTTTACAGCATGGGGGCTGTCACCCCACACAACGAGCCCTATGGGAAGGAGGATCGAGAGGCTGCAGTGGAAAAGAGGACAGTGGCCAAAGCACTCAAGGACCTGAGCAAGAGCAGCGGGGCAAAGGTGGCCCACATCAAGGCCATCCTGCCGATGCTTGTTTTGCTGACCCAGGTTGGAGAAACCCAGGGCTTGGGCTTGGCTGCGCCAGCTTTTCTTATCGCCAGTGACGAGTTGGTGGCACAGTGCTTGGCTACTTTGGTGGTTGCAGCAGCTGTTTGGTTCATGGTGATTTGGGTTCCCTCCTCAGCATACAAAGGCCTTAAGTGGTTCTTGGTGTGGCTTTTCCAGAGGAGAGGAGCAAACAGTGGATCCCAGGGCAGTGCCAGCCAAAGGACCTCGGTGGCTACGCAAGCCAACCTCGGCATGTCCCGTGACGAGCAAAGGTTTGCAGATGAGTACGTGGAGCGATGCCAGGAGCTCAAGGAGCTCTTGCACGAAAGGTGCTTGGAGGTGGAGAAGTGTGAGGAGCAGCTGCGGCGGCTCCATGAGGAGAACCGTGACCTCCGAGCTCGAGTCGATAGGTTTCGTTTGAGACGGGAGCCTCAGCGAATAGCTGTTGCTTCCTCGCGTGGGCAGAGATTTCATTTGCCAACATGCTGGCATTTGCAGAACTCCCATACGCGTGAGTACACTCCGTGCCGAGATTGCATCGGAGCGTGAAATTTCTCCTTGGCGGCACAGAAGCTTGTAGATAGGAGAGCTTATGTGCCGAGGCGGGGTGTCAGCAGTATACCCATGCCGGTGGATCATTCGCACTATCCAACCGCAGCCCTGGAAAGCTTGTGAAAAGATTGTTTTGCATTGATAGAGACAAGCAGGTCGTTGTTTTGCATTGCACGGTGTATGGGCTGGGGGGGCATTCAGCCTGAGGACAGCAGATGTAGGTGTGGAGGTCTAGTTGCAGCTAGTTCAAAATTCGGATAGGCTCCGGCTGGGTGCTGGTCACGAAGCGACACGTCATCGACTTCGTAGGCTTCGACTCTGTCAGGCAGGGCTATGATGAAGAGACGCAGCGAAGGCTGACTTTGCCACAGAGTGAGGAGGAGGCTCAGTACAGGAAGGACGCGTGGACGAACACAGTGTTACAGTTTCGGAAGTCGTGGCAATCGCTTCACCTTCCAGATGCACTGATCGCAATCCAGATGCAATGAACGGGACTCGCAGGACATGGCCGCCAAGCATGGCAAGCGTGGGAAAGAAGTCGAGGCATTGCTATCCAGACAGAAGATGCTTGGAAAGATTTGGCTCCAGATTTTCTGATTTTCTGTGTAAGAGTGTCGTCGCTGGCTGTGCGTTCTCGGCGATCGCAGTGCGTCCAAGATCAAGGCCATGCGTAATCTGCTACCATTGGCTCCTAAAGCCTCTTGCAAACCGCGGCTATCGTAAGTGTTGGCAGTGTGAAGTGATTTGGCAATGCCTCTCGTCAGCTGCAGCCAGGAGAGGCCGGCAAATCCTGTATGAGGTGAAGTGGAAGGGTTTGGACGACGCCAAGCAGCCGCTCGCTTTGCAAGCCGTTGCAGCTGAAACGTTGGAGCTGTGACCGTCGCCATGCCAGGAACACCTACGAGCCCCTCACCAAACTGCGACTTCTGGGCGTCGAGAAAATGTGTATCTTGCATGAATCCATGCACTGCCACCGCAGCGGCGGTTTTCATGCCTGGACATCGTTGCAGGTGCAGCTCTCGATGACAGGATAGCGTGTGCTGAGACAGCGATGCGACCGCTCAGTACCAGGGAAATTGTCAAGCATTTGGAGCTCCGGCGGACTGATTGAGTAGGCTAGAGGAACCAGTGATCTCAGCACGAACTGCGCAACCACCTCTGGTGTCCAAGCGAGGAACCGTTCGGGATTACGGAGAACATGACCTGCCATCGGATGATAGAAGGCTTTTCTGCAGGACAGAAGAGAAGCTGACCCGCATTTGGCCTAGGGCCTCGGGGATGTTCTGCTTCAGTCTCCGAGTCAGAAGACCGTCCGTCTGTGGCCGCGAAGCTGGGATATCTATGGAACGGGTGCAAAAGGGAGAAGGGGATAGCAAGTAGGAAAAAAACCCCAATTATATATGGAACGGTCACGAAAGGGGCCCCTAAACAGGGGCAACAAAGACCAAGCCCAGGTAAGCTGATGATGGCCGCTGCAATGTGGACCAAGCCGCACGTCATTGCTTTCGATGAGCCAACAAATTATTTGGACTTTCAGCTTCTCGCTTGCACTAGAACGGAATGGAAGGGCTGGCTCTCGAAACATCTCGCAGCTTCACTTGTCGACGACTTTGCCTGGACTCATGGTAAACTTTGGTGTCGCGAGGACGGTCAACTCACTTGCAAAAGCAATCAAGCTTTTCAAGGGTGGCACCATTGTCGTTACACACAATGCCGAGTTCTTGCAAGAGACGTGTGATGAAATCTGGCATGTGGAAGATGGCTGCGTGAAAATCGAAGGCCGCCACAGGTTTAACTGTTACCCAGTAGCTAATATCCGGACGCTCCTGGACCAGAGGGCTGCAGACCTGTTCTGCGGAACGCTCATCATTTTGGGAGATTTTAGGATGCTCGTATGCGAAGCTCAAGATGGGCCAGGTTTGGACACGTGTCAACTTGAGGAGGGGCGTGGCGGCGTGGTAGGATATCAAGCACGCCGAACATGCGCAGTACTGAAAATGTGCCCTCCCAGACCTTGACGATGTACCTGAGATGCCCTACTGTGTGGACGTGCCAGAGTTTTTAATGATAGGTAGAGCACACCTGCATGGCATCGCGACTGGCTAGTGTACGAAGCTGGGATTGGCTCGCGGGGTGATTCAGATAGGCTTGTGAGTCTTAGAATCACACCGGTGAGTCTGGACTTTCAGGCCGTGCTGGGAAAACTTATGCGAGACACCCTGCATGCAGCATCATAGTAATCCCTGATCATGACCCAACACTGCGACTCGTCAATCCCGTTTCGTGACTGCACAGGCAAGGATGGCGCCCTCAAAAGCCTCGCGGCCAAAAACGCAGCCGCCAAAGCCGAGAAGGCCAAGCAAAAGATGGAAGCTGCCCGGGTCAAGGAGGAAAAGGCTGCATCTGGACCGTCTGAAGCCGAGAACGCGCTTCAAGTGTATTTGCAGGCGCGGCAGAAGCTGGGTGCACCGAAGGCTGACATCAAACTGAACAGCATTGATTTGCGGTCACTGGATGGCTCTGAACTTCTTCTCGGCACAGACCTCACGCTCAATCAAGGGCGTCGTTATGGTTTGATCGGGCGCAATGGCGCGGGCAAGAGCACTCTACTGCGCGAGATTGCATACTACAAGTTTGACAAGTTCCCCAAGAATCTGAAAGTGCTGATGGTAGAACAGGAAGTTACCGGAGATGATCGCAAACCGATCGAATGGGTTCTGCACAGTGACGTAGAGAGGAGGCTCCTGCTGCAGGAGCAGAAGCTTCTTCAAGATAAGGACGCACGCGATGCGTCTGAGTCGGAACGACTGAAGCAGATTGCGGACCGGCTCCAGGAGATTGGTTCTGATGATGCAGAGCCACGTGCGGCCAAAATCTTGCGAGGTTACTTGCCGGCACTGCCAGGTGCAAGTTCTTCTTATCTTGGGTTGATGTGTGCGCATGCATCGACATGGTCATGCTCCTGTCAGGACTTCAGTTCACGGATCAACTGCTGGACACGCCCACATCTTCTTTATCTGGTGGATGGCGAATGCGTGTGTCATTGGCGTCGGCACTTTTTGCACAACCTGAGCTGCTACTCCTGGATGAGCCAACAAATCATCTGGATTTCCCAGCTGCTGCTTGATTTAGCAATCGGGTATAGTCTCTTTGAGGAGCCATGCTGTGTACGTGTCTGCTGGCGCAGGTTCTTTACCTTCAGGATTACCTGCTTTCGTGCAAGAACACCTGTCTTATTGTCTCGCATGATCGGGGCTTCCTGAATGCCGTGTGCTCGGACATCGTTCTGCTGAACGGCAAAAAGCTGGCGTATTACAAGGCCCCGTTGCTTCGGGAATGGTTTCAGTACATTTGACGCATGGTAGGTCTAGAGTCTAGATCTTGCAAACATGCAGGGCGATTACGATGCGTACGTGCAGACGGTGAAGGAAACTCGCCTAGCTCAGCAACGAGCTTATGATGCCCAGCAGAAGGAGATATCTCACATATTGGAGTTCATCAACAAGCATGATGAGAGACCCAAGATTGTGGCACAAAAGGCCGCCTAGCTGCAATGCCTGTAGCGATCTTGTAGGGCATCTAGAGTCATCAAGTTTCTCGTCCCAGGCCAGCAAGCAAAAGATGCTAGACAAGATGGAGAAGATCGAAGACCCTGCAATTACCTTCAACGACGCTGCATCTCTTTCCATCCGATTCCCGGAACCTGGCCAGCTGCCGAAGACTCAATTAATTCAGTTCGACAACATGAGTTTCGCCTACGCTGGTAAAGCACCACTTTTTGAGAATGCAACTGCCAACCTGGACATTTCTGGACGGATTGGCATACTGGGCGCCAACGGTGACTCTTGGAACAACAAGAGGGACTGTGACCAGAAAGTAACTCAGTTCACTGGGATTCGAGTTTCTGGGTCTTAGGATTGCAAAGCACAACAGCCGAGGCTGGCAAGTCCACCTTGCTCAAAGTCATGCAAAAGAAGCTCATACCAACAGCTGGACAGATCGATATCAATCGCAACGCCAGGATAGGTGCGCTGATTGCACGACAGCTCCAGCCTGATTGTTTCGGACTATCAAGTGGTTATTTTGCAGGTACCTTTGCGCAGCATCATGTGGATTCGCTCGATCTCGATGCGACGTGTGTGGATTGCGTGCAAGCTAGTTTTCCAGGCATCACCGATCAAGAGGCGCAGTCAGAATCAAATGTAGCACGGCGTCGGAATTTGTATGGACCGTGAATTGAAGTAACAATATCTTGGCGCGGATGCAGGCCCGAAGCGTGTTGGGACGATTTGGAATCAGCGGCCATGTCCCTAGATGCCCTTGCAGGAACATACTTACGGGACATGCAGCACATCATGCCAAGGTGACATGGCCCTCAGACGAATCAAGACCCTGTCTGGTGGGCAGAAGAGCCGTGTCGCGTTGGCTATTGTCACCTATCGCCAGCCTTTCAGTCGCAAGGAGCGTCTCGAGCACGAAACTCCAGTCGTGGCTTCGGCTTGCTTCGGGTTCTTCACCTGAGGCCGCACTTGATTTACCTGGACGAACCCACAAACCATCTGGACATGGAAACGATCGATGCTCTGGTCGATGCCATTAAAGAATTCCACGGTGCTGTGGTGATGGTTCCCTGGCAGAAAAAGCAGTTCAAGGGCTGAGGCTCGGATCCGCAGATGAGGCCGACGGAACTCTTGCTTGCAACCAAGGTAAGCCACGACCAGTACTTTCTTTCCCAGGTAGCTACGGAGTTCTGGTCCGTAGCTGCAGGGAAACTGTGTGCACCCTGCCTGTACCATCAATCTGCGCAAACAACTTCATTTGGACTTATCAAAGACTAAGCCCAGGTGTACCGTGATCTTGCTTCCGCGAAAGCGGCAACTTACGGATGCTCGGCATAGTCTTGAGACGTTGTCTCCCAAGAAGTGCGTAAACTTTTACACGCTTACCGTACTGTCTGGCACGGGTGCTATTTTCAAGAGCCACAGGCTGAGACGACTCCTTTCTTTCCACGTTTGCTTGCGCTTCCACGCCGTAATCGAGCTCCGAGACGAAGGTTAACCACGTGCAACCTCAGTCAGCATGCTTGCGAGCCCGGACAGCACAAACAACTGACCCTCGTGCTGGTTTGACTCCAGCATCGGAAGGTGCCAGCGTCAGGAAAAGGGAGTCTCACTGCTGATGCAGCTGGAGCCATGTTTGCACTTTAGGCGGTAACTGCTGTCCATGCAAAGCACAGCTTGCTTTTTTTGCAGTCCGGCTATGCATTTGCCTGGTCGGCCGCACTTCATGCCTCAAGGTTTTGACTAACTTGTAGCTTGCGGTAGTTGTTTGCTACAAGTCTGGCATCCGCCGCTTGAAAGTCAAGGGCCTCAGCGGTGCGCAGAGCGTGTCACTTGCCCTGCCAGAGCTTATGCCGGTACAAGGTATGGAACTACAGGACATGATGCGTGACCTGACGGAGTCGATGAGAGCGGCGAAGACGGATAGTGAAGCACGACGCTCGACTGGATTGCTGCTGCGAGATGGCAAGCTTGCTGCAGCGCTCGCTTGGCTTGATGCTCTCCTGCAGCTTCACAGATTGCGGACACATCAATGCCGACCCAGGTAGAGCTCGAAGGCGAACGGAGCCCAAGCATATACCCTCGAAAGCCGACGAAGAGTTCGAGGCTTTGGCTTGCAGCCCGTCTCCCGTGTTTGTCAGTGATGTTGCCAGGGGCCTCGGTCTCATGCAAGGGACGACGTGAAGGCAGGTGCAGGCCGGGCCCAGCATCGGCGAAGGAGTCTTTACTGTACCCCCGCCCTGCCAATCTCCAGGCCGCAAGCGGAGGAGGCTTCGGCTTGCGGAAATCAGCCAAGAAACGGCTGATCCGGCCCTTGGTGGTGCCGTTTCGAATTCGGAGATGGCCATCAACTCCAAGAAGCAAAAGTCAGAGCCCGCTGACTGCCAAAGAAGCGGCACTCCGAGACAGGCTCGTGCTGAAAAGGACCAGAGGACAGTTACTAGGAAGGAGGAGTGGAAGAAGCAAGCGCCTGGAACTGGAGCAGACCGTGTTGAGCGCCGCGGGAGGCAGGCTGTCATGTGGGCAAGGTCTTTTTGTGGGTGTTGTCACTTGTGGTCGACGTCAGGGTTCGGTTGAAAGGCGTCTCATCACCCTTTCCCGGCAGATTGGTTGGCCCTTGGGTTTTCGTGAGGGGTTGTTTCATGTTGCTTCGTATCTCTTAGTTGACTTCGGACAGATTGAAACACGTGACTGACTAATGATGTGCCGCTTCGCAGAAGATGCCTGAGACCACCGGGAAGCAATCCTTTCCTTCGCTCGTGATGTGCCCGGAGTGAGAGTTTGTGGCTGATTCTGCTGCTGGACTTTCGCAGTTTTGAGTTGTACTGCTAGCCTGTTTCGCCTAGAGTCCTCCCCTGGTTTGGGCGAAAACAGTTGGCTGGATATCTTTTCAGCACCGGGCAGCGCTAGCTGGCGTCGCCGCGCATCGTAGAAAATGTTGATGTGTGAAGAGGGGCTGCGCGTGTGGTGCAACCTCTTCGCTGCGAGTCCGGCTTCTCCGGTAAGCGCGATCCATTGTAATTTCCAATACTGTACCTTGGCCTCATGTTGGTGTCGAACTGTCGACCCTTTCGGTCTCGATAGAGGATGCCTGCGCGCATCCCGCTCAGTGGGACCCATCATTTTCCAATGCATTGGCCTCACTTTGGTCTCGGGACGCCGGGCGTCCACATCCTCCACTAAGTGCGATCTACCGTGAATTGCAACACATCGGCTTCAAGTTGGTCTCGAAATAAGAAGCCTCTCGGTGGACCCGGTGTGTGTGCGTGTGTGTGTGTTGTGTGTGTGTGTGTGTATATACGGGCGCTGCGCGTTTGGTGCTGTGTTGACTTTGACCTCGAAATCTCTGAAGCCGGGGGGCAGTTTGGCCGTGCTCCTGAATCAGGCAAGTACTTGGGCGCTTGGGGGAAGACTTGTAGTCATGTCTGTGAATCCCGCCAGTGCATGTGGGAGTAGCATCTTGGCCTTGGCCATGCTCCTGAAGAGTTTGTAGAATTGTTTTTTCGAAGGGGGGCTTGTAATAGACTTTATTTTAATAGAGGCTGTAGAAGTGTTCATAGAAGGTGATTTGGAAGGATTCATAAGCACGGGGTTTAGAAGGATTTATGGAAGAGGCTTTATAGAAGGTAGCGGGCGCATAGGGCGTCGTGTTACTTGCGGGGGCTATCTTATCTTTTCAGGACATTTTAGGGGAAGGGGGGAGGCGGAAAGCGCTTTTGCCACTTTACGCAACATACTGCAGCAGGATGTTTGACATTGACGTGCCGTCACTAGGGTTCATGCCTTGTGCGAGCATGCCCAAACCACTGGAAATTCAGCATTTCGCAGCTCTAGGCAACACACTGCAACAGCACAAGGCACACTGTCACAAGCGTTGCTGCCTTGTGCGAGCGTGCCCAAGACGTTGGTCTTTACAGCGTGCTTTGTGCTTCTTTTTCCAAGACAGTGCACAACTATATGGTTATCGTGATGGTGATGCTGCAAAGCCGTGGCAGAACCTCGCTTTCCAACGCTGTACGAAAGCAAAGTAACACTGCACCCAAGGCGCCCGCACCCTCCAGTATACCCGTAGAAGTGTTTGAGACTGGGGCTTATAGAAAGGCTTCCAGAGCAATTTCTGGAAGGGTCACGGGTCTAAACAGGCATTTATAGAAGTGCAAAGCTTCATAGATACACTTCATGGAAAGGTTTATCGACTTATAGAGTTGTTGGTAGAAGAGTCTATGATAGAACGGCTTATGATGGATGGATGGATGGATGGATAGATGGATATGGATAGCTGGACGGATGGACGGATGGACCGATGGATGGATGGATGGATGGATGGATCATGAACAGATGCAAGGATGGATCGTTGGATGGATGATTGAATGGATGCAAGGACGGCGGTCTTACCTTGCTGCTGCTTTCCTTGAGCTTTGACGTTTCCTGACCTGTCGGCCTTGACACAGACCAGGCCATAGCTCGACATGCGAACGCGAAGGTGAGTTTGCAAAGTCCTCGTCCACAGATTCCCAAAGCAAAGCCTCACTCGCGCCAGTGGGGCCCCTGCCATCTGTGCATGTGTCCTTCTTCCATATACCTTGTTGCCTGGCCTGGGCATGGTGTCGTAGTGCTGTACCTCCGGCCAGAGGTGCCACAGCGCCAAGTGTACGAGTCTTTGACTTTAGATTAGGGTTCTCATGCCCTGAGGTCCAACGAGGAGGCCCAAAAAGTCGAAGCCGAACCGCGTGCATCGAATCAGAAGCTTTCGAAGAGCCGGAAGGACGGGGAAAGGTTAGAAATCAGTTGGCGATCACGGGGGTGTTCGCAGATGAAGTTGCGTGCCCTGCAAGCAGCGAGCACAGCAAGTGCAGTGCAATGTTGCAAAGAGTGGGCAAACCAGGAATCCGAGCAGAACATCGAGAGCACAGATCCTTCTGACCAGACTTTGCTGCACAACGGGGTCTGGCACTTTGTTTCAGTCTGAATCCTCTGAAGAGGTGGCTGCAGCGCAGTTTGACGTGAGGTCGCAGTCTCCGCGCCCAACCCGCCGGAGTTGAGCACCATGCGAAGCACTTTAGAAGAAATGTGCCAGGCATTCACTCGACAGCTACTCAAGCTAGGCGCGCTCACTGCCAGCGATTCACTCTCGCGATTATTGGGCTGGCTTGCCAAGTCGTTTGTTCCGGGGACCAGTGACGCCGATACCGTGGCCAAGAAGCTGTCCGCGGCCAGCGCTTTTCTTGATCTGGGTGCTGCTCTGCTGCTGGATAACGACTCCACTGGAATGGACAGCTCCACCAACCCTGCCTTCGACTTTGTGAAGGCTTCTTTCCTAGGGCGTGCTATGCTGGCCAACGTGATTGCGCTTGATCTCAGAAACGCGGGCCGAAGCGCTGCTGCCACACTTGAGCATGTGCCCTCCAAGCAGCAGCTCAGCAGCATCATGAACCTTATGAACTATGCCGGTGACAGTGGCAGCACAGTCCTGTGGAAAGAGCTCGCCCAAGACATTCAATCGTGCTGCACCCTGGTCTGAACCCCAGCACCTGCTACCTAACTGTGTGTATGGCTGCGCTTCCCTTTCACAGACGCGAGGCGTTGTCGGAAGAGACTGGCAGCAAGCAGAAGGCGGCGGAGCAGGTTCTGACTGCCTCGTCGGAACCTCATGAGAAGCCAAGGCGAGGGGCTTTTACCAGTGTCCTTTACAAGTTTTTTTGCATTGTTTAGTGTATTTCTCACACACACACAGAGACACAGACACACAGACACACAGACACACAGACACACACACAGACACACAGACAGACACACACACAGACA